CGATGGCCAGGCCTTGGAAACGACAGGGCCGTTGTTTTACCGGTTCCGTTTTGCCGTTTTTATTGCCGTGCCGACGCCGTCTCTCTTTACCGGCTCCGTCGCCGTGTTTTGACCGGTTCCGGCTTCGGTTCCAATCATGGAGCCGTTTTTGTTGCCGTTTCCGGTCGCCGTTTTTTTGATGTTTCCATTTTCAAGGGAGAACGTGTTTTTGGAAACGGTGAAACCGGCCCTGCCGTTTCCAGGGCCCACAAAGGCCGCGAAACGTGTGAGAGGTTTGCTGAATTGGGTGCGGCGTCGCCTCTGCGAGCAGCGCGCTGGGGCCATTAGGTAGAGCTCCCTATCGAGTCCAGGGCCGCGTGAGGGGCATGACGAAGTGAGGGCAGCACAAGCAGCAGTTGCTGCAGCGATGGATGGAGGGAAGAGGATGACGAGGAAGGAAGGGGGGGGGGAGGCGGAGGAGGATGAGGAGGAGGGGGAGGAGGAGAGGAGGAGGGGAAGGAAGGAGGAAGGAGGAGGCGCGCGGCGCTGCGGATTCAAAACGAGGGCCCAAAACACGTGAGGGTCCGTAAAAGCCACAACGGGCGCCAGTGGGGGGGGGGGGGTAAAATTAATACGCTTCCTTCAGGAGCAGACGTTCAAGTGGAACCCGCACCGCAGAGTCCCACTTCGGCCGCGCACCCAGAAGCGGTGTGGGGTGCAGGACAGGTCGCCCCTTCACCCTGACGCAGGAGAAGCAGATTCTGGCTACGTGACATGATTAGGGGCGGCCGCCTAGGGAACATCGCAGAAACGCAATCGGACAGCCGATAGTAGGCGCCCCAGCCGGCCTCGGCGCGCCGCAGGGCTTCTCGGCGGACCCCTTGCCTTGCACAGAGCCGCGCTCCCCTGCGCCTCTTGGACTGCTCCTACGGTTCCTCGCCCGCCTCGCCCTCCTGCTCCGCGGCCCTCGCAGTTCGGCGGCGAGCGAAGGCGGGAAGTGAGGAGACTGCTTTCTCAGAAGGTTCGGAAGTCCCCCGGCCGTCTGACAAGTTTTCGAAGCCTTCCCCGAAGACAGCAAAACAATTTCTCGTAAGGCGCGAGGGCTTCTGAGAAGTCCCGCCGCCTTTTGAGAAGGCCTTCTCCTTCTCACTTCCCCGCCTCGTTCGCCGCCGAGAATTGGCGCTCATCTCCAGAAGCATGTTCGAGCCGTCATGGAGTGTCTGTCCCGAGCGGGGCGGGCACCCTTCCAGCTGCCTTCTTGGGAACTAGGAGTCGAGGGGGCGAGAAGGAAAAAGGCTATGATGAGGAGGAGGAGCACGAAGAACGAAGATGAGGACGACGAAGAGGAGGAGGAGCAGGAGGAGGAGGACGAAGACGAGGACGAGGACGAGGACGAGGACGAAGAGGATGGGTAGCTGTGGCGCGGGGTCAAAATCAATACAGAGGACCGTCGGAGGAACATCGGTCCTCGCGGACTCCGGTGGCCCCCTCACGCCATGAGGTGACCCCGCAGAATACGAAGCACGCTTTCATGGAGCTGGTCATGGCAAAGCCGCTGGAGGTCCTTGCCATGGGAATGGGGAACATCGATGACGACTACGTCCGAAGGACTGTGCTATTGGACGTGAGCAGGCGGATGAGGAAGAGGCATATGAAAAGGTAGTAGAAAGGGAGGTGGAGATGATGGGAGGCGATCTAGCAGAGGAGGAGGAGGAGTATGCGACGGGGGACGACGAAGCAGGCGGAGGTGCGAAACGAGAGGAGAGGGAGAGAGGTTCGGATGCCACTCCTGTGAGGTCAAATTCAGTATCGGCGCTGGTATCTCCTTGTCGAAATCCATCCTAATCCGGCACAGCTCCGTTCAATCTGGTTCAATCTTGCTTCGTCCAGCTTGATCTTGGGCCGCATTCGAACTGCTCCGTTTCAATTGCGCCCCAGTCGGGCTCAACAGCCCTTACTCCATCCGTCTACCATTCCATCCATCCATCTTCTTCGTCGACGTCACCTGTGCAGCAACCTGGCCTCCCTGGAGGCCAGCGCGTTTGGCGCGCTTGCCGCCGCCCTTGTAGGGCCGCCCCGCGGCGATGGCGGACCTGCGCTTCCGCTTCCACTTCCGCTTCCGCTTCCGCTTCCGTTGGGAGGGAGGGAGGAAGGGAGGGACGGAGGAGGAGGAGGAGGAGGAGGAGGAGGAGGAGCAGGAGCAGGAGCAGGAGCAGGAGGAGGAGGAGGAGGAGGAGGAGGAGGAGGAGGAGGAGGAGGAGGAGGAGGAGGAGGAGGAGAGGAGAGGAGGAGGAGAGGAGGAGGAGAGGAGGAGGAGGAGGAGGAGCAGGAGGAGGAGGAATAAGAAGAGGGAGGAGAATTATTCACTGCGTGGAGCTCCCCATATGTGCATCTACTCGCATGGACCTGTCCGCCGTGAATGTCTAGGCGCAAGAGCTTTCGAATATTAACGGGCTTCAGTTGTGACGGTCTGGACATCAATCTAACTGCGAATGAATTGGAGTGTGAATGAGCCTCAGTAGTACGAGCGCGTCTCTGTGCATGAGCCTGGGGCCTCCTGGGGCCTCCTGAAACCTACTGGGGCTTCCTGGGGTCTCCAGGAGCCTCTTGGGACCTCCTGGGACCTCCTAGGAAGGTTTCGTGCCCCAGGGGAGGCGCAATCTATAGCAACAGACGTAATCCGATTCCCCAAATAAAGTGAAACACTCCCTTTCGAACGACCGACAACAAGCAGTTTTGACATCACATGCCCTGCCCATGGTTGTCGCCGATGGTTGTCGTTCTGAGGTCTGGGGCGTCGACGACCTTGTGCTCCTGCTTTCCTCGTCTTCGCTCTCCAGTCCTCGTCTTTCCGTCCTCTTCTCGTCGTCCTCCTCTTCCCGCCTCCTCTCCTAGTCTTCGTCTTTTTCCTAGTCATATCTCCTCGTCCATCGTTCCTCCCCTCCTCTTCTTGTCCTCGTCGTCCATCCTCGTCCTCCTCACATCCTCTTCCTCCTTTCTTATTCGTTCATCATTCTTCTCCTCTCGCTCCATGTTCGTCCCCCCCGACGTCTTGCCTGCCTCCCCTCCCCTCTCGTGTCATTACCGTCTCCCTCATCTCTCTCCTCTGCAGAGGTTGAGAAGACCAAGCGAAATCATTGTCAGGGACTCATTATACCGTCGTCGCAATCGTCACCCTATTACATCATCGCCGTTTTTGTCGGTCCGAGCAAGATCGGAGATCGCATCTCCGTGGTAACGGCGTCTGCTGCTTTGGTGGCGGGTTGGGGGGGGACCCGCGGCAGCGGGGGTCGCTTTGGCCAGCTGCCATGGCAGACGAATCGTTCGCCCAAATCATCAAAAGAAGCATCGCGTACCGAGCTCGATTCAGGGTTGAGTCGAAGAAGGTCGTGGCGCCGTTTCAGATTGTGCCTCATCCTCAGAACCGCGGCGGCGATCCAGTGAAATCGTTGCGTACGAACCAAAATATATGTAGCATCATGAAGGATGGGTACGACCCCATAGATGCAAACAGCAACGGTGTGCTCGTGGAAGAAAAACCCGTGTTGGCGGGGGGCAGCGACACAGTCATACAAGACAACTTTGCGAAGAAGATCTTGGTAGATCCGGACATGGCCCTGCATAACAAATCCCGCCAGCCAGCGAAGTATGGTAGTTTGTCGCACAGCCATCTGAATTGTTTTTTCCGCAACATCTTGGGCAACAAAAAAGGATGCGAGTGCTCAGGGACCCGCGGTGGCGGGGCCGAGCAGGCCAAGTGCGATTGCAAGTGTTCGACACTTTTGGACGAAAAGGGAAACTACAATTTGGAGAAAGTGCGAGCTCACGATGGTGAGTGGGGTTCTCAGTGCGAAGGCGGCCTGGAGTGGGAGATTCTGTCTTGGAGGATGGACGAAGAGGAGCCCGAAGCAGCTCTAGTAATCAGCATCGCACTCAACAAGAAGAACGAAACTGCCATGAAAACGGGCCACCTGGAGATCCTGTCGACCCTGGTGGGTTTGTGCAAACCAGACCCCCACGGATGCGTGCCTTTCGAGCCAGTGAGGGACAAGCTCATCGATTTGTATGGGGCGGAGATCGACCACCCTGACTTCCTGCGCCTATTCAAATTGGCGTGTGATGCAGGAGGGGAGGGCAGTATTCACATGAAAGACCTGTTCCCGTTCACTGGTATGTTCGTGAACCCGAAGGTGCGCAAAATGCGCATGGAGGCCTATGGCGTGATTGCGCCCTACCCTGAGGAGTTCCCCAAACTCAAGAACGCCTGCCTCAAGTGGGCTTGGAAGCAGCCGCCCACCAGAGGGTTTTGCCAGATCTCCCCCAGCATTGCGCACAGATTCCACAAGGAGTCGAGGTTCCAGATGTATGATTTCTTGAAGGAAGTAGAGGGCGCATTCCTGCAACTGGGAAACATGGCATCCGCGGCAGTGGAGGGGCCGACTTCCGAGAAGTTGCGGTGCAAGTGGATTGCGGTGGTGGAGGTCAATGTCATGGCAAAAATCCGCAGAGCTGCGCTATCTACCGCTGCCCCCCTGCTCGTCAGCATCGTCCTCTCCCCTTCTTCCCCTCGCAATTGTACTCCTCCCCTCCCCTCAACGTCCGTTTCCCCCACCTCTCCTCAAGAGCGGTTCTGTCCCTCACCTCCCTCGCCTCCCCATCGTCGTTCGTTCTTCCTGCTCTTGCATGTTGTTCCCCTCCTCCCATTTCCGTCGGAAGCAGTTCGAGACCCCTCCGCTCCCATAGTGGGGCTGTCTGATTTTCGCGGCCCCGAAGAATCCCAGCGACGGCAAGTCTGTCAGGGAGCAGGAGGGCGCGATCGCAAAGGATTGCAGCTCATTCATCGCGACCGAGCTACGAGAGTTGATGTCATTGGGAAAGGCTGGGTTGACAAAGGCGGACATGCCTCAGTTTCCGCGGGAGACGGACCTGATGCAGGAAGTGGGGAAATTGTGGGACGACCCGAATGATAAGGGGCAATCGCCTTCCCCCGGGCCGAAGGGCAAGAGCTCCGTGGTCACGGAGACTCTGACGCCCAAGGTAATCAAGCAGGACGCAGAAGGGAGGGCTTTGACCGCGCACGAGACAGCGTCTGCCGCAGTAGGAGTAGCGAGCGGGGACAAAGTGGATACCATTCCATGGCGCGAGTGGGCGCGCTCTGCCTGCGCCTCGGACGACAAGCAGATTGCCAAGCAGGTGCTGGTGTTAGCCATGTCCGCTAACCACGACCACATGACATGCGAAATCCCTATCGCGATGATCAAGAGCGGCAGCGTGGTCAAGGCCGTGGCCACGAGAGACATTCCCGTGGGGCACTTGAAGGTGCCATTGTGGTTCAAGAAGGACGCGTCCATTTTCATGGAGGGGCCGGGCGTCTTCATCCACCCGAAAGCCGCGTGCGCAGAGGTGTCGTGGGTAAAAACCATTACCGAGGCAGAAGAAGAAGCTGGCGTCGAAAGCGGGGAAGAGGTGGTCGTGAGGATTCACGTGCAGCCTGAGCTCAGACTCCCGAAGGAGGGTGACGCAGGGTTCGTATGGGACCCGAGGGACTCAGTCCACCCGTTCTGGTTCATCAAGCGCAGTGACCACAAGGGGAACGCCGTCACAGACCACCACTGCGAGGCGAACGCCTCCGTGGTGATGGAGACGGTGAAACAAGTTTGGGCGAGTGATTACGTTCATCTGAAGACCGCCGAGGCCGAGGTGGCTCCTATGGCGTCCACGTATTCAGTGAAGCTGCCGTGCATCGTCAGCAAGGCCCCAACCAAGGCGGGGCAAGAGGTTGTCGTGCAATTTGACGGCGCTCCCACGACGAAGAAACAAAAAGCCACGACGCAGCAGACCGCCTTCGACCAGGTCGCGGCGTCCCAGAAGAAGAAGCCGAACAAAAAGTGAGTAGGTCGGGTCTCGATCCGCGGTGGCGGAGCGATTCACCACGTGCCAGCGTTCCGAGGCAGAGAGCGCCGCGCGCAGAAAAGTCGACCTGTAATTCCAAAAGCTGAATTCAATTTTTCAGTGGCTCTTTAAGGAGGCCGACGGCGGCCGGGTGACCCGCGAAAGCGTTGGGGAGTTCTGTAGAGTCAACAATGGAAAAGTCGACCTGTAATTCCAAAAACTGAATTCAACTTTTCTGTGGCTCTTCAAGGAGGCCGACGGCGGCCTCCGCCCTTCGTTCCTGCCTTCTCCGCTCTCCTCCTCCTGCCTTTTCCGCCCTCCTCCTTCCTCCTTTCTGCCCTCCGCTCTCCTGCTCCTGCGTTCCGCTCTCCTCCTCCTGCCTTTTCCCTGTCCCATGTCCTCCGCCCTCCTCCTTTCTCCTTTCTGGCGTCCCCCTGCCCCTCCGCGCTCCTCCTTCCGCAGCCGCGCAGCCTCGAGCCCGTCTGCCCCATCTTCGTGGTGACGGAGTGTGGGGGAGGGGGGGCATGAGCAGCGCATCCCCGCGTTCGAAACGCCCAAAATTGACCGGCGTTGAGCCGAGCTCGCTCGACAGTTCGTCGGCCCGCCGCCACCGGCGACGCAGCCCGCCGAGCAGCCGCCCGAAAGCGCAACTCGTGGCACGAGCAAAAGCCGAGCCAGCCGAGCCAAAGCGGCCGAGGGCGCAGCTCGTTCGGCGC